TATATCTATAATTCTCAAAATGTATGTGTGTGTGTGTGTGTGTGATTGGATGTTGTTTATGTGTTTCCACAGTTTTCATCCGATTTCAATTAAATTTTTTTTGTTTGATAGATAATTCTTCAGTGCCTGTTTTGAGTTCAAATTGGCTGGAAAAAAATTACAACCTTGGAGATGAAAAATTGAAAAAACTGATTTTTTACACTTTGTGCAAAAATCAAAGGCAAAATTTAATGTCTGTAAAAAAAACTGTGTACAATCAATTTAGAGAGTTGAAATCTAATGCAAAAGATTATTAGAATTATAAAATAAATTATATTATAAATAAAAATTATATATTATTATTATTATTAAGACAGCCCATGGAAGAGGTTCCTTCCTTGCAAAATTGAGAACGCAAAAACTACCCTTTTCCGGGCCACCCCCCATTCAGATTGTTAAGCCAACTCACCCCCACCCCACTCCCCCATTTGGGGATATGCCTCAGTTGCACCCAATTGTTGTTACTAATATTGATTTTCAGGTGGGCTGACTTTATACTTAAACTACTCCAATTGAACAGCAAAAATTCCCAGTCATGAAACGTCCAGCCAGAGACAGGTTATACTGATAGTATCTAATATGTGTATGTCTTGTAAGTCAAAAAAATTGTGAAACCATAAATAATACCATGTATAAAGTAAGAGTATTAAAATTCCTCTGTTTTGTTTTATATCTTCTAGTGTGTTAAAATTAAAATACTACAGCTTGTAAAATCCATGCTGAGTTGGTTATCTTTATTAATTACTAAGAAGGCAAGGCTACTTAAAAAAAACAAAAAAAAATCTTGCATAGCATAGGTAGATATCAAACTCATGGAAAAAATTGAATAGGAAATGTTTTTAAATAATCAAAGATAAAATAAAAACAAAATGAAATCTTTTAAAATATTTGTTCTCCTAAAAGTACCAGTACAGAAAAAATGACTGCATAAATCCTGCTCATATAATTTAAAAAGGTGCTGACTCAGTCCTTAAATATCTGCTGTAACCTTTAACTACTCAAAGCTTTGTGAATTATAATTAAGGAGGTTTTCATATGAAGAAAGTCCAACAAGAGTTCAAATAGAAGGTTATTGAGTTTAAAACTAGCCTTCAGCAGGTGTCACTGCATCAAGGGTTTTAAATGTTTTTTTCTTATTTATTTCATTTTGCTTCAGTGGAGACTAGCAAGTATTATTATTATTCAGAGCTAATGACAAATTAGGTTCTGTAAACAAAATAGAGATAGAGTATAGGAACACAAGCACACAATTTGTTAATCTTTGAACTTCATTATCATGGTAGTTCATTTAGATAAAACTTGTTATAGATTATTGTTACTATTGTGGTTGTTGCTGCATTAATGACTCATTTGGTGACAAAATTCTGATACACAGCATCATCCACATAAGAAATATAGAATTCTGTTACCAGTTTAGAGATGGACGTATACTATGTGCTTATATCTTTCATTATGGTGTTCTTTGCAAATGTAGATGCATTTAGTTTCAGTTATGATACTTTACCTGCAAATCTGGTACTACACAGCATAGTTGGAAGCTAGGATTTCTGATATTTCAGAGCCATAGCAGCTGGAGGTGAGTGCTTGGCACCTCCTAAATTTTTACCAATTGTAGTATTTTTACAGGGTTTTATTTTAACAAAATACAATAAAGGAAGAAAAAATAACAAAGCAAGGAGGTACTGGATATTTTAAATGTTCTTCCCACTAACCATGTTGGTAGCCTTTGATAACTTAAGGCTAAATCTAAATTTTTTTGCACCTCTGCAAAAAAAACATTTGCCTCTACTACGGCCCTGTATTTAGGGAGGGTTAACTTACATTGCTTGAGGTCATTGTCACTATTACTTCTAGCTTCTGGATGAGTGCTGGCCTTCAGCTAGTTCTCCCTATTATGCCCATATGGGAATACAATTTTCAGATATTTGGATGACATGTCTAGCCTAGTGCAGTTGCACTAAACAATAATGAAGCTATTGGCCTGTTGCAGGATCATGATATTAGTAATGCAGTCATGTTAGATTATGACAAGTATCTATATAAATATATTTATATATATATTTAATATGTTAAAAAAAAAAGTGATTAGTTTCCCCTTAAAAGTTACATTGCTTTAAAATACACAGGTTACCAAATGTATCAAAATAAAATTAGGTTTTGTAGGAAATTTATACTCATTTTTTTATTTTGCAAAATAATCAATTACATTGATACTGTCAAAAGTTTTTGGAATATTGCTCTCAACCCACTCTCACCTCAGAATGAGAAATCATTGAGTTCAAATTCCAGTCAGGTTCGTTGCATTTACTTACATGAAAATGCCATTGGGAAAGGTATGAATCTATCTGCTTCTCCAAGATATAGGTTAAATAACAAGACTTGTATCTGGAAAAATCATTGTTATTCTCAAAAAATTATTATTGTAATATTCACTCACAAAAAAAATCTTTTAATCCAAAATATGTTACATCTTTAAATAACTCAGAAAATGTTGATAAAGTGTAAAAAAAATAAAAAATACCCACTCACAGGCTCAAAATCATTGCGTCATTGTTTGATTTTAATTTTTCTTTTTCTTTAAATTAAATCTGGATTAATTATTTTTTTAATTATAAATTATATAATAGAATTATTATATTTTAAAATATTTTTTATATTCTGTATTGAAAATAGAAAGCTTGTCAGTGATCAGAAACAAATGCAAACATTACTGAAAATAGTATTATTATATCAATAATATATAGTGTTTAAAATGTGTTCTATTTATGTGGGAAGAGTACTCAGTGTCAGATATAGACAGTGTAAACCATGTATGAAGATTGCTCGGAGTTGAGGATTGGGCTATTTGTGTGGTTCAGGGCATGTACTGCAATGCCCAAATTCAAGTTAGTCAATGGTCAATATAGCAGGGAGTTTGGTGTTGGTGTTCATCAAAGCTCAGTCATGAGTCCACTGCTCTTTATTCTTGTGTTGAAGGCACTCTCTTGGGAGTTCTGCACTGGTGTACTATATATACTGAAGATCTTGTGTTAATCACTAACACTCTGGATGAATGTGTTACCAAGCTGAAAACCTGGAAGGTAGGCATGAAGAGCAAGGGGCTCTGTGTCAACAGGAAAAAGACCAAAAGGTTGATTTCTGATGTTGATCTGAACAAGTTGCAGGAATCTGACACATTTCCTTGTGCTGTCTGCCGTAGTGGAGTGGGTACAAATTCATTCTTGTGCTCCAAATGCAACACCTGCAGTGGCATCACCAGTAGACTAACAAAACTATCAGATTACATCTGCTCTAAATGCCACGGTGAAGCAGGCCCTCTACCCAAATCACTTTGAATGGTTCAAAAATGGATATTAAGCCCTGTCTCTGTTATCTTGGGCATATGCTCTGTACAAATGGAGGTTGCGAGCTCACCATTCTAACCAGGTGCTCTATGGCTTGGGGGAAATTCAAAAAGCTCCTAGCCATTCTCTCATCCAAACACATATCGTTAAGAACTCTACATGTGTACAATCTGCACTGATCCATGGCAGTGAGCCTTGGGCACCAAGTGCATTGGTCTTGCAGAAACTCCACTGCAACTACCACTCAATTATTCGCTGGATCTGCAGCACCAAGTCTCAGTATAAAACCCCTCATCTGAGTTGTTAACAGTGCTGTGTATCTATCATCTTAGATGGTTTGGTCATGTTCAACAAGTTTCATCTTGCATCAGGACTGTCTTGGAATTCAGGGTTCTTGGTCACAGAGATCGAGGTAGACCTGGGAAAACATGGAAGGACTGCATTGGAAGGGATGTGCAGGATGTGCATCCTTGCCCACATTAGACCACTTGATAGGGATGCTTGGAAAGGATTCAGAGTTAGCCAACTGCTAGTCACTGGGAAATCTGCAGCAGTATAATCAAAGCTCTTGATCTTGACTTCACACACATACATATACATGGATACATACATACATATATATAAGTAAATATTCCTGCTGTCTTATCACCGAGTGGTAAGAGAGCTGAAATATTTACTATGATGTTATAATCAAAGCTCTATATTTTGCATTGTACACTTTTGCTAATTTCTTTTTTTTTTATTATATGTACATTTTGTGCAAATATTAAATTTAAAATCCAAAGAAGAGTCTGTAATGATATTGGTCCTGACATAATATTTTGACTTTAGTCACTTTCCCATTGCCATGATGTGGCTTCTCTCTGTCTTTTCTATCAATATTTTCATGGCAATTGTTTTAATAAGCTCTCCTATTTGGTATCTCGACCACTTGAATTTAAGCCTACTACTAGATTGGCAACTAAGTCTCATCATTTAACTGTTGAATTAGCTACATGTAATTGTAAGTTCTATTCTAATAGTTTCTTTTCTTGTACTTCTCACCTCTGGAACTGTTTTCTACTTTTTGCTTCTCTGACACCTACAATCTTCAAAAATGTAAAGGCAACATCAATTGCAATCTTCTGTTTTCCTGAAACCTATTCTTTTATTGTCCTTTTTCCTCACTAAAGTTTTCTCATTCTCTTTCACTCCCATTAACCCCATTGTGTCTTTAGTTTTAGTTCTATTATCATCTTGCTTGGAGGGTAAAGTGATTAATATATATATATATATATATATATATATATATGACCAAAATCGCCTGACGATATTGAAAGTTTGGAACCAAGGTAGCAGAATCAGCTGATCTATTAATTTTAATACTATATATATATATATATATATATATATATATATATATATATATATATATATAAATAGATTCTTAGTGTTACTTTTTAAATCTTAGAGGGAAGAAAATATTAAAAAAAAAATCTGGTTAGACATAGAATTTGAATCTTGCCCTAAAAATTTTTATATTCACCTGAAAACATTTACTCATCTCATTTATTTACATCTCTTTCCATGTCTAAAAATAAAAATGGACTTATATTCTGTATTATATTTCCTTTGCAGGTTATCAAGTTGTTGGATTGTTTATGAAGAATTGGGACATTGTTGATGAAAATGGGACTTGTTCTATCAACACAGATCTTGAAGATGCTCAGTTTGTGTGCAAACAATTGAAGATTCCTCTTTACACAGTTGACTTTGTTAAAGAATATTGGAATCAGGTTTTCAGGTAAGATGACAATTGTTCCACACTAGCAAGGTTACTTGTTCTTGATATTGACTGATGAAGAGAAGCTTTATCTTGTTGCACAGACTACTCGTGATTATGATTGTGATTGGATTTGTTTTGATGGTCAGGAGAAGTAGTTTACTGCTAACCCCACAGGAGAAAGAAAGAGCCAATGAGCCTTCACATACTTAAAACAAGGAATAAAACAACATCGCCAAACCAACTTGAATACAATTTAATAAAAGTGGTGACAATCATATGAAAGAGAAAAGGAGTTCTTAGAAGAGTTTTTAAAAAGTCCAGAGAAATAAAATTTGGTAAAACAAATGTCTGTGTATGTACAGATGTGTGTAGGTGTGAGTATATGCATATTATATGTAGGTGTGAAGATACACACACACACACACACACACATATATATATGTATGTGTGTGTGTGTGAGAAAGTATGCATATATATTTATGAATATAAGTAAGTCACTTAGCTCTTTTTGAGGTCGACATGGGCAAATATTTTATCTTACTGGTGTTAATCTCTCTCTTTCAGAGTACCAGAATAAGAAAGCTTTCTTCAGCATGGTGTAAGTTAAGTGAATGTGCTCAGTGTATCCATTGTGTGTGCTCCCTGAGTGACTTTTGGTCTGTTCTTATATAAACTGGAGATAGGCTCCAAATGAAATCCTAGTCTGGGGTATGTCAATAAATTACGTTCGTCAGCAAGTCTCCAATCGGGATATTGGAGGCTTTGAGGAGTGTGGAACCACTTCTTAATTGCTGTTGTTCCCAGAGCCACCCTAACCCAGGGTGGTAGCCTCTCTTAGGGCCCCAGCTATGAGCAAATAGTGAACCCCAAACAAAAACAAAACACTATGAAAGTTTAAAAACACATTTTATAATAAAATTACAAGCAATACATTTTTATATAAAAAAATTACCACCAATATATATTTATAGTAAAATTACCAACTAAAAATTTTTAAAACAAAATGACCAACAATACATTTTATCTGTAGTTGAAGGCATACAACTGCATTCAAAATATTTAGATTCCAACATTAAATAACCCTTACAGGTTGATATGCCACAAAACAAAAGCCAAAATTTTATTTTTTTTATTCTGTTATTGGTTGAAGAGGTCAGGTGGTATGCTTACTACTATGTTGCTGCAAGGCAACACCAAATCTGGTTTTACATGTCTATGTTTCAGTTTGATGAAAGTGTAGTTGTAGTGGAAATTTGAAAATGTATTTTATTTTTTATTTATTTTTTGTGTATTTTCAAAGTCACAACAATTTTCTTTATTATTCATTTGGAAAAGTTTATTAAACCTATTAAGAACCAAAGCAGGAGTAAAAACTTTTGAAAGGAAGACAGTGAAATCTTCTGATGGTGCAGCAAAAATTCCTTTTCTATTTTGTAAATAGCAGAGTAATATATTTACTGAATAAGAATTACTAAGAATATAATAGAAATAATTCTATAAATTATTCAAACTAATATCCTTATTTTATTTTGATTCCTACATTTCAATTGGTACACTCTTTGAACTTTTTAATGTTGTTTGAAATTCTAAAATGAAATGTGCTGCTAGGAGAGACTGTTTTTATTTTCCTCTGTTTAAATTAACATCTTTATATCCTAACATAAAATTCAATTTCATCTCCACTTCCTACAAAAAGTGGACAGACAAAAGAAATTCTCTTATCACTCACCTTAACCAACAATAATTGATTATTAGTTTTTAAATTGATTATGTTGCACTAATTAATCTTGCACTATTATCTTCATATTAGATATATGAGAATAAGAAAACATTATTAATGAGAGAGAGAACAATAAAAGAACAGGAATTAAGAAGACAGAAGATAATGATTGACATTGCATTTAAATTTTTAAAGATCAGAGTTGACTGGAAAATAAAAAGCCAGAAGAGAAGCAAGAAGTGTGAGAGAAGAAACTGTTAGCATAGAACTTATGGTTACATCTGACCATTTCAACTGTAAAATGATGAGCCCTTGCTGCCAAACAACAATTTAAAATCTAGCCCCAATGAATATTTACAATATAAAAAACAAAACTAAAAGAAATCAAATAAAATTTTACCATGGAAGTATTTATAGAAAAGGCAAGGAAGCTACAAATAAAAGTGACTGAAGCTGAGATGTCAGGTCAACCAACAACATGAATTACCATCCTTGTCAGTTGCTAGGAGTCCTATTTTTGCATCATCTGTGGGCACTCATACTTTTAACATGCCACTATCTGTCTGGGATTCATTACCTTGCAACTGTTTTCTCGAAAAGCCTGGAGCAGTTGCAGGAGATATTGCCTAATCTTTTTGGTCCCAACAATTATTCATCAGTCAAACAGTTTTAAATCCTGCCTGCCATAGCTACACTAAATACTAAACCTTCTTACCTGTTATGCCCCACATAAGTTATCTAGCTGAGTCCATTTCTACAAGGATGGAGGCAGGGCGCCAGACTAATTTTTTTCACCATTATCTTGGAACCATACTGAAAGACAATTTTTAGTGTCACAAAATCAAAATTTTTTTTTTAACATTTATCATTTATTATCATAATAAAGACACCATTAAAATGTTTAAGAAATAAATTAAGAAAGCTAAAATTTGAAAGTTTTAAAATGAATAAATGCAAAAACAAATTAATAAAATTTTATTATAATTTTTATAAAATCACAACTTATCCGGGATAACAGTCAGAAGATATTGATCTGCAATTTTTTCTGTTATTTGTGTCTTGCACCATCATTTCCTAATGGGCATAGACATTTCCTCCATCCTTCCTGGTTCTCAACTGTGTGGCCTTCTTTCTCTCAGTCTGTCCATGGTCATTAATTAAAATTATCATTTTAATTTTGCATCAGTGAAATTTCTCAGCATGGCTTTGCTCAAAAATCAGAAATTTACTAGCTGCTTCATCCAATCAGTCACCACACTCAACCCCACCTAGGTCATTGTACTTCAAGCACCCTGGCTCCTTACACAAGGAAACTCTATTCCTTAATTTGGTTACAGAGATCACTAATCTCTCAATGTGTTAACTAGCACTTTTTTAAGCTGCCTCATTAATCAGTTGTCAGCTAAATATTGCTATATGGCCTTGAGTAATATCTTGTAACAGAATCACTTTTCTTAAGCTATTTCCTCCTGTTTTTCTCTCAGTCTGTACTCGCCTCTTCTTTAATCCTTCTCATCTTGTTCCAAATTATATTTTAGTTTTTTAACCCATTCTTTCTGTTTGCCAGTGTCACAACTATATGGAAAAATAAAGGTGTCAGTTTAAACGAACACCTGAAGATATGAGCTAAAAATGTAAATCAAACAGATGAAAATTATTTTCACCTGTTTGATTTATGTTAGTGACTTTAATATTAAGAAAAAACCTACTGTGTCTTTTTTTTTGTGTGTAATTTGCTACTTATACATAAAAAATAATGTGAGTGAAATGGTAAATATATTTAATAAATATTAAAAACCAATCCCATAATCATTTGCATACTTATTGTAATTTTGCTTTTTATTATACAATTTATGTCAAACATATCTATAAATAAAAAGCCAGAAGAGAAGCAAGAAGTGTGAGAGAAGAAACTGTTAGCATAGAACTTATGGTTACATCTGACCATTTCAACTGTAAAATGATGAGCCCTTGCTAAAACAACAATTTAAAAATCTAGCCCCAATGAATATTTACAATATAAAAACAAAACTATTTACAAGAAATCAAATAAAATCATCAGAACAATTACCATGGAAGTATTTATAGAAAAGGCACAGGGAAGCTACATTACGGTTGTGAGAAAGTGACTGTGTCAGGTCAGGACCAACAACATGAATTACCATCCTTGTCAGTTGCTAGAGTCCTATTTTGCATCATCTGTGGGCACTCATTTTTTAACATGCCACTATCTGTCTGGGATTCATGTCTTCCTGGTAGACCTTTTGCAACTGTTTTCTCGAAAAGCCTGGAGCAGTTGCTGTCTCAGAGATATTGCTAATCTTTTTGGTCCCAACAATTATTCATCAGTCAAACAGTTTTAAATCCTGCCTGCCATAGCTACACTAAATACTAAACCTTCTTACCTGTTATGCCCCATGTTATCTAGCTGAGTCCATTTCTACAAGTGATGGAGGCAATTTTCTTGGAACCATACTGTTTTAGTGTCACAAAATCAAAATTTTTTTTTAACATTTATCATTTATTATCATAATAAAGACACCATTAAAATGTTTAAGAAATAAATTAAGAAAGCTAAAATTTGAAAGTTTTAAAAATGAATAAATGCAAAAACAAATTAATAAAATTTTATTATAATTTTTATAAAAATCACAACTTATCCGATGGATAACAGTCAGAAGATATTGATCTGCAATACTCTTCCCTTCTGTTATTTGTGTCTTGCACCATCATTTCCTAATGGGCATAGACATTTCCTCCATCCTTCCTGGTTCTCAACTGTGTGGCCTTCTTTCTCTCAGTCTGTCCATGGTCATTAATTAAAATTATCATTTTAATTTTGCATCAGTGAAATTTCTCAGCATGGCTTTGCTCAAAAATCAGAAATTTACTAGCTGCTTCATCCAATCAGTCACCACACTCAACCCCACCTAGGTCATTGTACTTCAAGCACCCTGGCTCCTTACACAAGGAAACTCTATTCCCTTAATTTGGTTACAGAGATCACTAGATTTTATCTCTCCAATGTGTGTTTTTGTAACCAGCACTTTTTAAGCTGCCTCATTAATCAGTTGTCAGCTAAATATTGCTATATGGCTCCTTGCAGTAATATCTTGTAACAGAATCACTTTTCTTTAAGCTATTTCCTCCCTGTTTTTCTCTCAGTCTGTACATCGTTCTCTTCTTTAATCCTTCTCATCTTGTTCCAAATTATATTTTAGTTTTTTTAACCCATTCTTTCTGTTTGCCAGTGTCACAACTATATGGAAAAAATAAAGGTGTCAGTTTAAACGAACACCTGAAGATATGAGCTAAAATGCAAATCAAACAGATGAAAATTATTTTCACCTGTTTGATTTATGTTAGTGACTTTAATATTAAGAAAAAACCTACTGTGTCTTTTTTTTTTTGTGTGTAATTTGCTACTTATACATAAAAAATAATGTGAGTGAAATGGTAAATATATTTAATAAATATTAAAAACCAATCCCATAATCATTTGCATACTTATTGTAATTTTGCTTTTATTATACAATTTATGTCAGTTTGGGTTTCCTGTTCTTTCAACATATCTATAAATAAAAAGCCAGAAGAGAAGCAAGAAGTGTGAGAGAAGAAACTGTTAGCATAGAACTTATGGTTACATCTGACCATTTCAACTGTAAAATGATGAGCCCTTGCTGCCAAACAACAATTTAAAATCTAGCCCCAATGAATATTTACAATATAAAAACAAAACTATTTACAAGAAATCAAATAAAATCATCAGAACAATTACCATGGAAGTATTTATAGAAAAGGCACAGGGAAGCTACATTACGGTTGTGAGAAAGTGACTGAAGCTGAGATGTCAGGTCAGGACCAACAACATGAATTACCATCCTTGTCAGTTGCTAGGAGTCCTATTTTTGCATCATCTGTGGGCACTCATACTTTTAACATGCCACTATCTGTCTGGGATTCATGTCTTCCTGGTAGACCTTTGCAACTGTTTTCTCGAGAAAAGCCTGGAGCAGTTGCTGTCTCAGAGATATTGCCTAATCTTTTTGGTCCCAACAATTATTCATCAGTCAAACAGTTTTAAATCCTGCCTGCCATAGCTACACTAAATACTAAACCTTCTTACCTGTTATGCCCCACATAAGTTATCTAGCTGAGTCCATTTCTACAAGTGATGGAGGCAGGGCGCCAGACTAATTTTTTTCACCATTATCTTGGAACCATACTGAAAGACAATTTTTAGTGTCACAAAATCAAAATTTTTTTTTTAACATTTATCATTTATTATCATAATAAAGACACCATTAAAATGTTTAAGAAATAAATTAAGAAAGCTAAAATTTGAAAGTTTTAAAAATGAATAAATGCAAAAACAAATTAATAAAATTTTATTATAATTTTTATAAAATCACAACTTATCCGATGGATAACAGTCAGAAGATATTGATCTGCAATACTCTTCCCTTCTGTTATTTGTGTCTTGCACCATCATTTCCTAATGGGCATAGACATTTCTCCATCCTTCCTGGTTCTCAACTGTGTGGCCTTCTTTCTCTCAGTCTGTCCATGGTCATTAATTAAAATTATCATTTTAATTTTGCATCAGTGAAATTTCTCAGCATGGCTTTGCTCAAAAATCAGAAATTTACTAGCTGCTTCATCCAATCAGTCACCACACTCAACCCCACCTAGGTCATTGTACTTCAAGCACCCTGGCTCCTTACACAAGGAAACTCTATTCCCTTAATTTGGTTACAGAGATCACTAGATTTTATCTCTCCAATGTGTGTTTTTGTAACCAGCACTTTTTAAGCTGCCTCATTAATCAGTTGTCAGCTAAATATTGCTATATGGCTCCTTGCAGTAATATCTTGTAACAGAATCACTTTTCTTTAAGCTATTTCCTCCCTGTTTTTCTCTCAGTCTGTACATCGTTCTCTTCTTTAATCCTTCTCATCTTGTTCCAAATTATATTTTAGTTTTTTTAACCCATTCTTTCTGTTTGCCAGTGTCACAACTATATGGAAAAATAAAGGTGTCAGTTTAAACGAACACCTGAAGATATGAGCTTAAAAAAATGCAAATCAAACAGATGAAAATTATTTTCACCTGTTTGATTTATGTTAGTGACTTTAATATTAAGAAAAAACCTACTGTGTCTTTTTTGTGTGTAATTTGCTACTTATACATAAAAATAATGTGAGTGAAATGGTAAATATATTTAATAAATATTAAAAACCAATCCCATAATCATTTGCATACTTATTGTAATTTTGCTTTTATTATACAATTTATGTCAGTTTGGGTTTCCTGTTCTTTCAACATATCTGACTTTAGTTTAATACAGTGACAATAAATACATAGACTTTTATATATTAGACATACATTTTACTATTATAGGTATTAGATGAGCAAATTCTTTATTCTCTCTTGTAGTTCCTTTCTGCAAGATTACCAAAAAGGTTTAACACCAAATCCAGACATCTTGTGCAATAAGCACATAAAATTTGATGCCTTTCTCAAATATGCCATCAGCAGGTATGGTGCAGATGCCATAGCAACTGGACACTATGCCTGTACTTCGTTGAATACTACTTCATTTCATCGCCCACCCTCATCTGGAGAAGGTCAGTTAAGACATTTTGAAAATTTGAGCAGTTTATCATTTTCTTACATTCAGGTTTCTCATCTGTTTTGTCTTTTGTGAATTGAAAATGTTCATTGTATCTTCATTCAATTCAAATCAGTCTTGTAAATCTATAACTTAAAGAATTTTGACTATGTTAAGACAATACTGCTATTGGCAGAAAAATAAAGTTTCCAGGAAGTTACTTGGATTAGTTAGCATCCTCATCTTTATTGCCTAGATTTATTCAGCACATGTCACATTCACCTGAAGAATTAAACAGCCAATATATGAAAACAGCAAATATTAGGGCAATAGTCAAAAATACCTTTAAATAATTCCCAAATCCCCCATCTCACAATTTCAGTTAACAGCATTTGTTTTATTTTCATTTTATTCTGTTTTAATTTTTTTCTGGTAATTAACAACTGTTGCAGCAATAGAAAGTCATTTACTTGGAATTAGTGATCTGTAAAAGAAGCTTGGCATGGGGGCAGTATTGGGTTGATTAAAAAGTTAAGGCAAATATAATTTTATTTTCAATTTTCTATATAAACTATATTGAACATATTTACTATTTTTCTACTATGTTCTACCATATTTCAAGCAACTTCCTAATTCCATCCTCCCATAATTTTTTTAGTAAGTAAATATTTGCTGTAAGGTTGCCTCCTTGTACCCTTTCTATAGATACTTTCATGATAATTGTTCGGATGAGCTCTTTACTGTGGTACCTAGACTTTATGAATTTAAGTAGAGTAACAGAATGGCATTTGAGACCTCATCAATTTAGAGCTGAGCTGGCTAGATGTAACCATAAATTCTATGCTAACAGTTTCTTTTCTCACACTTCTCACTTGTGGAACTCCCTTCCAGCTCCATCCTTTCCAGCCAATTCTAAACTTAAAAAATTTAAATGCAATGTCAGTCACTATCTATTGTCCTCCGATTATTCTTTTTTATTCCTGCTCATTAGTAATGATTCTGTTTCTAATGCTTCCACACCCAGTAACCTCTTGTGTCTTAGTGGCTTTACTACCTTTCATGGGGTGAAATTGATTTAAAAAAGGTCTGTTTTGATATCTTCCAGGCAATTGAATTTTTTTTCCCATAAGAATTTAATAAAATATGAAATAAATGATCCTAAGGTGCAATATCTGGTCAATATGGCAAATGAGTGAAAAATTCCTGGCTGAGATGTTACAATTTTTGCTTGGTCAATAAAAAAACATACAGTCTAGTGTTACTCTGATGAAATATACCCTTTCTCTTCACTGATTCTAGCTGCATTTCATTGATTGCTATTTTCAATTGATCTAACTGGATGTAGAAATTGTTCAAACCAATTATTTCTTTCTCTAAAAGAGGCTCATACTTGGGGACTCTGTTCCAATTTCACCATACACACCATCATCTTTGGATGCAGACAGTCTTTGTTATGGTTGATAGTGGCTCTTTTTTGTCTTGCTTTTGCATTACATGGTATTGTAAAATAACCGCTTTACATTATCTGCCAAAAACGTTTTTGATATGTTTAAATATCAAATTGCATGCATTTTAGATGGCTATGCATTGAAGCCAAACTTATGTTTTTCAACATATTTTTGGATATTTTGAATATGTTGGTTATTTTCAATGTCGTATAATTGATTATTCTCAAATAATGCTTTAATTTGATTCCTATCAATTTCCTCTGGTCTACCTGATCAAGCATTATTCAATAAGAAAACGTCAGTATGAAACTTCAAAACCCACTCTAATCCCTCAAAGTACCTTTCCTATAAACTGCACAAGTTGTATTTTTGTGTTTTATTTTCATTTATACTTTTCTTAAAAAGCATAAAACATTAAAAATGTTCTGTATCTTCTTTCATATTTGGTGTTAGAATCATTAAGCAAAAATATGACAATTTTGACAAATGCTATTTTCTTAATGCACATTGACATGACAGCTGTAATAATATCTGTCTATATTTCTGAGATGAGGTATTGTAATTGTTTACATTATTCAGACTGTTGTCCTCATATTTATTGGCATTTTGGTCATTGTATGCTCCAGCTTTCTTCAGGTGATTGGAATTTTGAAAATAATACAATGAAATTTGTTCTTAATGTATTCAAAACTAAACACTCCAATACTATCTTTTTTATCACTCTAATAACAAATGTGTAGCATGTAAGCCTTTTAGAATACTTTCACCTTACACAATAGTATTGACTGCTAAGTGGCTAAAAAGATTGTGTTCTTTCAATCTTTAAATCAGTATTTGAAATCCTAATTGGATTCTGTCATTGATAATTGAATTTCCTATCTCAGCCACCAAGCAGACCATTAGGCGAAATACTTCCAAGAGCTTTGGACACTCCCTGGCCTTGCCCAGTTCTAGATCACTCTTGAGCAAGAAGGTAAATAATTTTAAACCTTTGATATTTAATGTTTGAATTTTTGAGATGAGGAACTGTAGTTGTAACATCTACTATTACTCCTGTTAAACATCATATGACAGTGTTTTAATTTTGGGAAAATACTGAGTAATAACATTATTTTAATCATTCATACTGTAGCTGTTCCATGAGACATGCATAAACTTAAGTGGACTTTCATTACATATGAGCAAGGAAAGCTAAAACATTTTATGCATGCAACACACACACACACACACACACACACACACACACACACACACACATATATATATATATATATATATATATATATATATATATATATATAGTACCATTCAAAAGGCCATTTTAATCTATTGTAAGTTTCTAAAAATAGCCAGCTTATAAGTATGTTTTTTATTGTGCTGTCTACAGATTGGCCATATAGGAGTCATTTTCACACCTAATTATCATATTTTTAACATGGGTTCTAAACAAGGAGAGAAGATGCAAGATGACACCCAAAAATAGCCATACAAAATTCTTCAGCCACCTGACCATTTTTGTTTTCTCTTTTCTGTTCTACTGCTACAAGGCAAATATTTTTGGGGGAATAGGACCAATATTTTTTTCCCTACTGATAGAGTAAATTCTGACATTGAACTCCTGCATTCTTTCATCACTTGAAATTATGGTGAAAATTTCCAAAAAAACCAGGATGAAGAGAGTGAAGATGGCCAAGAATATTAACCTGTGAGTAATGGCTAAGGAAATTAAAATGTCAAGAAGTGGCATTTCTGAAGTCTTGAAGTTTCAAAGCACTGGAAGTGTTTTTGATTGACCAAACTATGGTCACTTTAGAAAGCTGCAAAATAAGATAATAAAGGATAGCAAAAAGCTCATTGAAAGAAAACTGATAGACAAGTGATGGATGAGTGTCATTTGTTCAATTTAGTGTTAGTAGATAAAACTAAGTGTTTCCTTCAAGAACATGGACTGAAGAGATTTGTTACAAATAAAAATACCAGATTTAAACAAAAAAGCACTTGAAGGCAACATTAAGTTGGTCAAAGTGGTATGAACTGTTGCTTGGGATAAGATGCCATTCAATGATGAAATGAAGATGAAGCTGCATTCTAATAAGTGTGAATTTGTCAGAAGGCCAACAGGAAAGCAAAATGACCTATGTTACACAATGAAAACTATGATGTTTTTTTATGATAAGAGTCTGATGCTTTAGAGCTGTATAAAAAGGGATGGTTCAATAAAATTGGTTAAAATTGACAGTAGCTTGAATAGTGCCAAATATATCAAGTAGCTAAGGCACATTTGATACCGGACTTGGATGAAAGTGAGATTTTTTTAGCATTACGGAGCTCCATATCACAAATTGCGGGCAACACAACAGAGACTAATTGATGAATTTTTGGCCACTGAATTAAATCATAAATTAAATGTTGCCAGAACTAATGGATAGATTTCATTTAACAATTTGCATTAACTTCTTAAAATCAACATTATATAATAAATTTTTATTAAAAAGATTTTTTTTGTTTTAAAACACAGCATCTGACTTGATGTATGTGAAGTGGGTGAAATTTGTTGCACAGATATTTTTGATGGTTGTCTCACATGCAACTTCAGAACCCTTGCTAAAAAAATATGGTAATTAAAAGAAAAATGACTCCAATATAGTTAAAGTTTCACTATATATATATATATATATATATATATATATATATATATATATATGTGTGTGTGTGTATTATATAACCAAATGGGTAAATATAGGCAGGCAATTGTATACAAATACATATAAATACTCTATAATTTAAGAAAAACAGTGTTCAATGTTAAGTAACATAGCTATTTAATATATATATATTAAAAAATATACATAATATCTTTCATTAATTTCACAATTCCGAGTTTCATGCCAAAGCAATTTTTAAATGCTGGAAATATTTCCAGCACTTGAAAATTGCTTTGGCATAATGAAACTTGGAGTTGTGAATTATGCATATTTCTTTATAAAACAAATACTCCCTAAGGAGTGTTATCAAACAGACAAACACAACTAATGGCAGAACCAAAATAATATTTTTATAAAAATGGTGTCAGTAGGACAGTTGGCTACAACTAGAAGTTTCATGTGGATGACACAAGATGTGCAGTCTTTAGGCAACTAGCATTATTGACCTTAGTTGACAAGAGTATTTATTCTCATTTGGCAAACCCAAGATGTTACCCCACAGACGACCAGCATACACACACAAATACACACAGTGCATACACCAACCAAAATTAATGAAGAGAAACCAAATATATGGCAGAAAATGGTACAGACAAGTCCACAAGGCTGTCAAAATGTTAACACTAGCTTTATGTGGAGAGAAAAAATATTGCTCCTGACTTATTGATTCTCTACAGTTGAGCACTTCTTTGATAGACACATAATTTTGATGTTCTGGTTCTGTTAAGACCCACTCCCACATAGTAAAAGCTGATGTCAATTAACATCTTTGCCAGCCTTGAAGACTTGTCTGTACCAATTTTGCTATATAATTGTTTTTCTCCTCACTGATTTTGGTCAGTATATGCACTGCATGTGTATACACTGGCTACTTGTGGTGTAATATCCTGAGTTTGCAGAGGGGAAATAAATACTCTTGCCAGCTGCCTGAGGATTGTAAGTCTCATGCATATGAATCTTCTAGTTGCGGCCAACCATCCTACCAGTATGTTTTTTTTATAAAAAAATTAATGGATTTTATTTTTTAATCAGATAAGTTTTTATTGCTTCAAATGTTATTTTTAGTGGATACCTGTATTTGAGTAGACACTTCATCTACTGGCCTGCACAGTCAAGAAAACTTATTATATCATATATATATATATATATATATTATACACAAACTGTTGTTCTCATTTTAGCTTTTTATAGTGATATTTCAGCCTAGTATAAAGTTGAAAGCCATATTGATTTTAATTTTGAAAGAACAAAATTTAGGTTTAAGACAAAGAATTATTAATGCAGTTTTTATGGCACATCAGCTGCTCTATATTGGTCACAAGATATTGAAGTTTTCTAAAGTAGGTTCTTTTTGTCTTAAGATATTCACTAAGCTCATCTAAGTCTAGCACAAGGCCACAGTAGTGGAGCATTGCCATGATGTTCAACTTCTCTACTCTAGTGAATGATCTGTAAGACTAGCTGGTTAACCATTGCTCTATGGCAGGTGCCCAATCCTTTTAACTTATAAACCCACAGCTAAGGTTCTGTACATTGCACTTTCTATACATGGGGCAGAGATGGTGTCCTCTTTAAGATCTCTGTGCACTCAACAAGAAGGCAGCTTTCTGATGTGTCATTATAAGAAAAGTATATAATTGATTTTGAAGACGGCAGATGTCTGATTGCCTTTTGCATAAGAAATTACAGGTGCTTTTCCACTGTACTAAACAGCAATTTTGTTTTGATTTTAGCCATCAAATTGTTGAAGGCTGCTGATGCTGTGAAAGACCAAACATTTTTCCTTGCTCAGATATCGCAGCAAGCACTGAAAAAAACACTCTTCCCAATTGGCCACCTTAGAAAAGACCAAGTACGACAAATTGCCATTGAAGAGAATTTACAGAAAATTGCCAAAAAGAAAGAAGTAAGTTTTAGAAGTTTTTTTTTTTAAATCTTTTTCTTACAAGGTTGGGTTTTCTACTGAACAGCTTATGATTATTTATTAAATGATAGATATGTTAACGGCCAATCACATTGAAACACCAGTTCTCATATGATCACTGAAGTCAAGCAACATCGAGCCTGGTCAGTATCTAGATAGTTGGGAATATCAGGCAGTGGCATAGCTAGAAGGGGACAGTCTGCCTCGGGCAGCACTTTTGGTCTGTGGTGAGTTTTCAGAAAAGAAAAAAGATAGTTTTCTCACACCTATGTGAGAAGTTCAGACTGGCGGCAGTTCTTTGAATTAGATTTTTTATATCAGGTTAGTGGGGAAAAAAAAATGAAATATGTGAACCAATTGTTTTTTTTTATCTTATCATAGGCCTAGCTTTAATATGGATATAAAATCGTTACTTATTATAAAATAGATAGATAAATAAATTGAAATAATTCCAATGCTTTAAGGATATCACATGCATTCCAATTTTTTCTGGAAATATCAAATGGAAATTTAAAAGAAAGTTGAAAATTAATATATTTTTTTAAGTGCAGAAACTTTAAGTCCAAAAATGAGCATTTTTTTCAACTTAGGAGTTTTCACAGTAGTAAAACAATGCAATGTTTTATTTTTTTTGTTTAGTTGAAATTTTATTATACAAAATAGACTAAGAATTAAAAGTATGATAACATTTATTTCAGTTTTTAAAAGTGAAATTAATTTTATCAAACTTTAAATTCTTAGTCTACTACTTTGCTACTAATAACTTCAACTACGTAAAACAAAATAATTTTAAAAGACATTGCATTTGTTTTACATTGTTAAAAGAAAAACAAATCATATTTTTGTTAACGTAGCATTTAATTTATGACCCCTCATTTGTTAGAATTGAAATAAATATTAAAAAAAGAAGAAATTTTGAATTAACAGTACAATGTTTTTTTTTTAAAACCAAGGGCATACAAACAAAAACAAGTTATCTTTCTTTTAATATCATAGAAAGTTTTTAGTTTTCCCCGATTTAGTAAAAAGGAAGTAACGTCTTCGTTTTTTTTTACATATCCCCAGTTTTATTTTTAAAAAAGTAAACACAATTGTACTTTTATTTCATAATTTATCAGTGAGGAGTTATAAATACCACGTTAACAGAAACATGGAAAAAAAACCTGGCATGATATGGGCATTAGATTCTGGGAAATAGTTAAAATGTTAAAAAATTGATGGGTGTATGAATAATTTTGTCGTTGACTGTGTGTATATATATATATATATATATATATATATATATATTAAATTTTAAGGGGTTAATGTGCATTGTAATATTGTATTCCTTCTGGGGAGGGGCAGCAAACTTGAGGGCCACCCTGGGCAGCAAAAATACTAGCTATGCCACTGATACCAGGTGCTTAAACTTTGATGTGTATGGATAACAGCTTGAATTGGAAATTGCAGAGCCAAATTTCAACTCCAGTCAGGTTAGTTATAATTACTTATGCACAAATACTCTTGGAAAAGGTATGAAGCTACTTCTTATCCCCCTCCCAGCTATTGGTTAATTAGTGGGACTTGTATTAGTAAATCACTATTATATCCAAAAAATTGTTAAAGTTACTCACTACCCCATCCCACACACACTTTAGCAGATTACATTTATCCTGCTAAAGGGGTCATCTAAACACATTTTTATTAACGTGAAGAATAGAGTTACCAAAAATTTTCATAAAATTTTAAATGGCATATTGAATGCTGTCAAGAGGTGAGGGGAACTTGCATAGCATAGGACTCTGAACCGCAACAATTTTAATAGACAACACTAAATAAATCTTATTTTGCTGCTTCTAACCAGATGTGAATCAGCCAACGAGAAATACTTACTTTGAAGATGCAATTTAATTTGCAATAAAATTATTTTTGTGTACAGTGATTATTGTCTACAGAAACATTGCAGTAATTTTTCCATATTTTGCTGCTTATAACTTTCTCTTTTTTTTTTCTTTTAAGAGCATGGGAATCTGTTTTATTGGATCTCGAAACTTCAAAACTTTTATCAAAGAAGTAAGTATTTTTTTTTTAAATCAAGTACAAAACTAACAAAATACAGCAATAAGGTTGGATCATTAATAATACTAGGTACTAAATATAGCATGGTGATACATGGTTGCATTGAGTTGTCTATAATTTAAAGCAAGAGACTAGATATCTAGTACATTAAATACAAGTAAAAATCAAGATTTACTTAGTTTTCTGATGAGACTGTATCAAGTATGAATTAGGTGTGCTGTTAGTGTTCTCAGCTTGTTGATGTAGTTTGAGGTACATATGATCATGTAGAAATTGTTAGTTGTAACCATAAGTTCTATGCTGACAGTTTCTTCTTGAAATTCTCACTTGTGAAACTCTCTTCCAGTTTCTTGCTTTCCTGTCGACTAAGATCTTCTGTCTCCTTGAAACCTGTTCTTTTATTCTCCTTTATGTTCCTTTCACTCTCAGTAATCCCTTGCACTCGAGTGCTCTTTATCACAGCATTCCTGAACTGAAACACATTTCTCTCTCTCTTGTAAGAAATAATGAAATATTTTTATTTTTATTGATGGTTCCTGTTGGAGGACATAAAAGTTGGGAAACAAAATAGTCCCACATATTTCAACTTGACAACCTTCCTATAGACAAAATCTCTCACTTATGGCTTCTTAAAAGAAAAAAAAAAAAAGAAAATTATTTTCTGTGGGGATCTAGAAAAAATACAAACACATATACAAAGTACCTGATAGTAACTTTAGACACAAGAGCTCTTCATTCATCTAGTTAAGTGTAATGGGGAAAACACATATTGGGTATCAATTCTCCAGTTAAAGTAAATTTAAAGCAACACTTGTTAGCTGGTATTTACTATAGATTTTAAGAAAAGAGGAGAAAAAGCAAAAACAAACTCTGATACTGAGAAGATTGACTCTCAGATTAAAAGTATTATAAGGTTTTTATATGCAAGATTATATTTCCTTAAACTGAAACACTAAAAGATTAGAAACAACTGGATGGTTTTACCCCCTCTCACTAGTAGAAATGAACTCAGCCAGATAATTAATAAGTAAAAAGGTAGTGTAACTGTAACAGCCATAGATTGCAGACAGAATTGAAAGCTATTTGGTCAAGGAATTATTATTAGAGCCAGAAAGATATGGTACTCTATATTCAAGGTAACAACTACTCTACATTTTTCTCAAGAAATGTTTCCTGCAGGTGATGCATGAAACAGGACTTCCAAGGATTCTAACCACCCAACAAGAACCACATCCCAATTCAATGTCATTCAACACAGTGTAAACTGTATTTTCAAGCAAAAATGGCATCGTTATTGACACTCTGGAATCAGTAACCTTCCTGGGTCAGATAATATTGTCATAGAACTGTGGAAGATTGGCCAAACAAGTTTTCCACTTTGAAGTAGAGTGTATAGAGAAGACTGCACAAGATTATGGCCGCAGGCTGGCAATGATTCAGTAGCAGTATAAACACTTGTTCTTTTTGGTGATTACAAATATTACTGGTAACACTGATGTACATCTTGATAGATGTGACAGATTGTTTCATGGTACTTTGTCACAGTAAAATAATCCCCCTTCCCAGGTGGCACTAATCTGAATCCAGGAAAACTCAACCAATTTCCACCTACTCCATTAACTCCCACAGTCATCAGATTTAAACTTCATCAAACATGTTGCAGCATCACTCAGCAAAACAATTTAGTGATTGACAGCCCAGGAATGTGCCAGCATAGACACATACAACTTAAACACTTCAAATTAATTCCATACCAAATTGTATCAGTTTATTTGCATGACTAATTGTTTATGTAAAGTATAGGAACTCTCAGCTGTGACTAGAATACCACCTGTGACTTAGCATCGTATTAACCAATCACTTTTAAGGATGTCTTCCCAACTTATTACTTCAGTCACAAATGCAAATAGAAGGCATTTCTATTAAGTTCAATTATAATTATTGTTGTCTTGTGCAAGATTCTTCACTAAGTGCCTATCATTGTATCCTTGAGGGGCCCCAGAAAAATGATTTGTATTACATCTACTTTGACCTAGCAAGGTTACCAAAGCATAGCATTGAAGATAAAAGTATCTACAGGTTTTAATGAGCAAGGTTAGCAGAGCTGACTTTACTGCATATGTAAATGCTCAATGAAGTGTTAAATGCAGTGAACCTTCAATAATCATTTTTTTCAGGTAACACCTGGCTGGATGTCCTCAGGCATCTACAATTTAAAAACAAAGAACAGACAGATCAAAACAGCTTTTTGTCACACAGTTCACAATTCTAAAATTCTCACAGTTAAAAAAAAAAAAAAAAAAAATTTATCTTCATCTTGATCTAAACTTGTTTGTAGTGTTTACTGCCTCCCCCCCCCAAAGAGGAATTTCTCTAAGATAAATAAATTAAAAAAAAAAAAAGCCATAATGTTTGTTTTGTCTTGAAAAACAGTTATATTTGTTGCTTTTTCTTTTTCTTTTTTTTTTAAATAAATCAATTCACTCCAAGCAATGCAATAATTCCATTAATATGCAATGGGCTACTGGGAGTGAAAGAGGAACATGAGGAAATAATGGATAAACCTACTCCTGTTCAAAAGACTGGGGAGGAGTGTTAACCACACAATAAGAAAACCTATTTACGATTTCAAGTTATTTTACTACCCAATTGTCCATTATCAAAAGTACAATTCACTAGGAGCCTCTACAGCTCAGCAATCTTAAAATAATAAAAACATACAGATATTTAAATACATTTGTTAGTCCTTAATAAGGCTTTACTAAGAAACTCATTACTAGTTATTTTAAATAATGGTTTTAGTGTGGTGAGGAGACAAAACAGAAATAAACTTTAATTTAGTCACAAATATGGAGCACCTGATGAGAATCAACTTAGTGCTCAATAATAATAATATTCAAGATCAGCAATAAGAGTCACTTGTGGATAAAAGTGAAAGTTTGTTTGTTTCTCTCTTTCCATTATAGTCTGAAATGACAACCTCTATATATCTATCTCTCAACAAAAACTTTGTGTAGGAACCTCTACTTGCTCACTGAAAAAACAGCATGATATAAAAAAAATAAAAATAAAAGCCCCAAAATTTAAAAAAGTTAATTGTCAAAATTATTATTATTAGGAGGAAAGACCAAAGTATTTAAAAAAATTTATTATCCTAACACGTTCAAAATTTTGGTTAATCTTTTTTTTTTATGTCAGTGATTGACATAATATTTACATTTAGTGTTTTTGCACTTTTTTTCCAACGAAAAATACATTGATTTGGAAATTCTTGCAAAATCAAATTGTTGGATTTTAATGGAACTTTCAGTACTTATTCACAAATGAATGCAATTATTTTTGAAATTTTTGTTTTAGAAAATCTTCATAAATATTTTCTTTAGTTTAAATATGCCTGTTTTTGCATGTATGGTAGTCTGAACATGACATTATTAAAAAGTCACATGTTGTCCTCCCTTTACAGAGAAATTCACTTGTCTTCAAGTCATTAGTCAGTGCATGTTTACATCTCAACAAGCTTTAAACATCATCCCTTCAAAGTTTTAAAACTTTAAAAAATTAATAAATAAAATACCATTGAAATTATTGAGCATTACTTCTATCATGATATTTCATTAAGATCTCAATTATTAAATTTTAAAATGAAGAAAATTTTATATTTTAAATTTTATTTTTTCATAAAGTATATTGAAACATAAGGCTATAACACTACAATAAAGTCAATATTAGATAATTACTGAAAATATTAATTTGATTTGTAAAAATTAGGTAATTAACCCCCTCCCCCCGAAAGTATTCACTTAGAGTTCATAAATTTGTCAATTCTTGTCATCCATACTTAGTTGTCAACACCTCAGAAAAACAGGACCTATGATTAAGAAATGCATGTATACTATGTTTTCTTTGTTATTGCTATTTAGCCTGTAGGCCACGGTCGATTTTCGTTTCATTCCGTGGACATAAAATTTATATGAAAAAATTTTACTTGATTTCGGGAGTTTCGATGCCGTAGAGTCTAAATCTAAAAAGTTCTCCAGGGGAGAATTTTGCATTTTAAATTGAATATTTTATCGGTAAATTTGAGCATAAAAATTAAGGGAGGTAATAATTGAGTAAATATGACGTTTCTTAAGCTAGTAGTTATCTCCCTTAAATTCAAAAATTTTAAAATACGGCGAAAATGAATTCTCCGAATATTTGTGCAATACATTTTGATGTCGATGAAAACAATAGGTACAATTTGTATCATGCTAGCATGTATTTAAGAAATCAGATTATTTCTGTGGAATCACCAACATCTTGGCCTCCTAAGAGCAATAGTGTAACTACAGAATGTGCTATGAAGATAATTCCTGTAGAACTTTTTAATGCATTGGCATTGATGTGTGGTCTTTCTGATGAAGTTGAAATGAAGAATAGATTTATTACTGTGTCTGAGAAAGATAAGAGAAAGCTACTTGCCATAGCACAAGATATTCTGAACCTTTTTCACAGAGGAAATTTGTTTTTACCAAAGCATTATGCACTGGGAATGGCTGTTCGACACTGGACTGGTCAGTCAAAACTTATAGGCATCTTCAATGGGTTTGGGCACTCTATAAGCCACAGCACAACTCTAGAACTGGATACGGTTTTGGCTGAACAACAACTATCAAAAAGTAACATTCCAGAGGGTTTTAAAAAGAAAACTTTTACACATTTAGCCTGGGATAATAATGACATTGGAGAAGAAACTCTGAGTGGTAAGGGAACAACCCATAATACAAATGGGATCATAGTGCAGCAGCTAACTTGTGATCACTTATCACATATTGAAGATGTCGCAATAGAAAAAGACCAGCCCCAAATGATCAGGAGTAAGAATCGCAGTGTGATGCTAAATGAAACGCCCATACCAGAATATTATGTGGCAAAAAGCGTAGGCCCTTTCCTACCTTCAGTTTCAATTGACAGCATTCAAAATGCTTTATTTAAATCATTTTGTGAGACCAAAACAAGCATTACTGATTTGGCTATGACCATGATCAATATGCACTGTGAAAGTGACAACCAAAACACTACTCCAATTCCAGGTTGGACAGGTTTCAATATTCTTTTATTACAGGACCAAATACCACCAAAAAGCAATATTGATATTTGCCTGTGGTCAATGGTAACCCAACTTAACTAAGTACTGTGAATGCAGTATTTTTGAAAAGTCTTGCTATTGCTGATGAGCTTGAAACTGAATGTATTGTATTAACATTTGATCTTGCATTTTATGCTAAAGCACAGCAAGCACGTTGGAATGATGCCATGTATATGCAAAAAACAGTTGTCAGACTTGGTGAGTTCCACACCTGCATGTCATTTCTCAGTGTCATTGGAAAGTGCTTTGAAGATTCAGGGATAGCTGATGTCCTACTTGAAGCTGGAACAGTGGCACAAGGATCACTACCTGAGTCATGAAAGGCAGGCACTATAATCGAAGTGTCAGAGTCATAAAAATTATGTTTGAAGCCTTAAGGAGGAAACTCCTATCTACTTTTATTGAAACACAAAGTGAAGAAGAAAAAGCTAAATTCATTGCATTGTCTAAAAATTTATATTATGCTTTTCCCAAAACACAATTCCAAGATCTCTGCACATCAAATGATTTTAAAGAGTTTGAAAGTAAACTATTCTTATTCATTCAAGAGAGATGCAGCCAATTTCCAACTTTTGCATTTTGGATGAGTTACTTGAATATGGCAGATTTGTTTTTAAATTTTATTCGTGCTACACGAACAGGAGATTGGGCCCATCACCTTAAATCAGCAGCAGCAGAAATGGTACCTTGGTATTTTGCATATGACCATTTGAACTATGCTAGATATCTTCCTGTTTATATCTATGAGATGCTTGCTGTTCCAGATACCCACCTTGCAATAGCAAAGCATCTTGCTGCTGGGAATTTTGTAGTTCAGCAACAAAACCAGTACCCCTTTAGTTAGAGACCAGACGATTGAACAGACAATGAATAGAGATAGCAAGACCAGAGGTGGGCAGATTGGATTCTCAAATAATGACAATGCTGTTCATCGTTGGATTTTATTTTTTAATCAACGTGCTCAAATCTCTAAAAACTGTACTGAAATGGCTGGAAAAGGAGAGGGCTGCCATAATAAAAAAGACCTGAGTAGTTCTTGATATCAAAAGGATGAATCAGATATTCAGAGTGTCATGCAGACACTGAGTCTATGCAAAATCCATTTGCATATTGTGAAAAAGAATTAATTAACATTGCATTTGGCCAAGTAGCATCTTCTGAAATTAAAGATGACATTTTGACAGCACATGAACAAGGCTGTAATATTTCTAATCAGTTTGTTCAATCAACGACTAATTTTTGAAAAATGTATAGTTGAATGCACCATTAAAATCAATGAAGATAAAAACTTTTAGTGATCTTCAGAAAAGCATTCACAACAAAAGAGCAAGAAGGAAGCAGATTGCTTGAAAGCAGATAAAGACCTTCTCACTAGGCTTCTCATAGTAGCAAGAACCCAAAAAGTTGACCTGGAAGAAATTTTTCACATTGCCTTTCAGAGTTCCCATCTAGCCTAAGTAACATTGATGGTTCTTTGCAGCGTACCAACAAAGCTGCATTATTTCATTATTTTCTTGTAAAGTTTCCTGATATGAAAATTAACAATATTCCAAAAAATGCAGCACTGATATTAGATGGAATGGCAGTAATACAACAGCTTGCAGACCATGTTCCATCAAGGTTTGGTGAGCTAAGTATTTATGTTTTTAGATATGTAATCAAGCTTGCTTCTACTTATGTCATCAAGAGTTGACTTTGTCTGTGATAAGTACAATCCATGGAGTATTAAAGACTTTGAAAGAAAACACTGTTTGATTACCTCATGCCGCCTGTTACGTGCTCTGAATGAAAAACAGAAAACACCGGTACAATTTCGAAAATTCCTCATGTCTGGTGAAAATAAAGAATCCCTCATCTTATTTATGTTGATGCATTGGAAAAAATTGCCAGCAGAAGAATTTCATGGAAAAACTGTGATTGCTTCATTTGGCCAAGGATGTTTCATGCTGTGTCCTCATAGTGACACAAATGAAGTAATCACAGAAACTTTGCCAGAATTAACAAATGACCATGAAGAAGCCAATACCCTTCTTTTGCTTCATGCAAAGCATGCATCAACTGCTTTACCTTCCATTATCATTAAGACTCCAGATACGGATGTTTTTCTTCTTTGCCTTGCTCATCAAAATGAATTAAGCTGTGATTTATATATGGCTACTAATACCAACCGATCATCTTGTTTGATCTCTATTAAATCAGTTGCAAAGAAATGTGGAGCTGCTCTTTCAAGTGCCTTACTTTCTTTGCATGCATTCACTGGCTGTGATACTGTTAGCTGCTTTAAGGGAAAGGGTAAAATAAAACCCTTTGTGTTAATGAAAGAAACAGAGGAATTTCTTCAAACTTTCACTTTTAGGCTGCAACTGGCACCTGACAGATGATTTGTTCCAGCAACTAGAAAAATTTGTGTGCTGTCTATTTGGACAGAGAAATGTTTCTTCTGTAAATACTGCCCATTTTAATATTTTTCATGTCTGGAAAATTGGATAATACTCTACCACCTTGCCAAAATAGTTTACGGTTACATGCAGAAAGGCTGTAATTTGGCAATGCTCCTTCTGCAACAAATCATGGCTGGAAATGTGAAGATCAAAAACTCGTTCATTGGAGCAGCCTTCCTAAAACTCCATCTACCTTGATGAACTTAGTAAAGTGTAACTGTAAGAAGAACAGCTGTAACTCCAGGCATTGTTCTTGTATTCGTCAAACACTGCCTTGTACCGACCTTTGCCAGTGTATAGATTGTTTTAATGTACTTAAAAAAAATAATGAAGTGCAGCAGATTAATGAAATAGAAGATTCTGACTCCTCAGAGGGCCAATGATAAGATGAGCTTGCAGGATTAGAGGACAATGAATTATTTTTCAATTCCTTTTATAAATGTATTACTTGATAACAATTATTTCAACATAACTGAAAAAAAAACTCTTATTACAATATATATATAGTCAAAGTTAGTCTAAACATTAAGATTTCTATATCAGTCAATGTGTATGTGTGACAAAATTACATCAAAAAGTAAATGGCAGTCCAAAATGAAGAAAAGTCAATCACCAGAAGTATTTGCAAACAGTTCTTCCATCTATGATTCTTGGAAGGCACAAGATTTGGAAACATATATAAAGGTTTTTCATGTTTTTTTTATCAAATTAATGTACATTGCAATGTTTTACGAGGTTATTCGAATTTGAGAAACTCATACAATAGAAAGTAACGTTTTCATTGTTATGGCTTTATGCAAGTCATTTTATTTGCTGAAAATTCCTGATTAAATAAATTAACACATAATATAAGAGCATATATATATCAGTTTCTTGTTGATACACTTAAATGTGCTAAAAAAACTTATTTAAAGTTCATTTTACATGAAGTAAACCATGAAAATGGACTTTTTCTGTAAATGACACATCCTGTATTATCTCCCCTTTTCTGAAGCAGTGCGCACATTTAGCCTGGAGATCTCTTCAGATTTGAAATCAGCACGAAAAATACTCCTAGAAACACTTGAAATTTTCTCGTATGTCCACAAACTCAAAATCTAAGCCCTTTTTTGGCCTCTGGCCCATAGTAATATTTGTTTCAAATCAGATTAACTTTGCTAAATGTGTCACAAATACATATTTTTGGAAGATTTTTAAAACCAATAATTAAATTTTATTTACAAATGTGAAAAAAAAATTTCCACCTGTAATTGATTTTGTGAAAGCAAGCAAATAATTGGTACTCCAAACAATAATTTCTATTTGAAATGGATCAGAGTATTTTGCTGGAAAAAGTAAATTTAATCCTTTTGCTTTCAAGTAAAGTTAAGAAATCTTCAAGGATGCATTTTCATTTTTAAAAATTTATCTCTAACTTTAGGTAACGAAAATTTATACTAAATTAGTGGAGGTACCTACGTTTGTGTTATTTTCATTAAGATTGAATATTTTATATTTATAAGCAGCAAAACTATTTTAATCGAGTCCATCCCTGTCTTAATATTCAAGAAACAGTTTTATAATATTCATGCAAACATCTTTCTCCAGTCATTTTGAAATATATAAAGCTTAGCTTGGTCTGGGTCAAGATCAACATAATAGAATACACAGAGGTAGACTCACTAAATAATCTAGCAACATTGAGTCTATACCAGAAATACCATATTTTTTTGTTTTTCCTCTAGTATATTGAACCGTTGCCAGGAAAGTTTGTGAATATTGAAACAGGGAAAACACTTGGACAACATGAAGGTAAGGCAATTACCAATCCTCTTTAAAATCCAACAACACCCCCACCCTAAATATTTTGCATTAAATAAAATTAAACTGGGAATATGATTTTAATAGAAAGCACGAGGGAACCTTAAATTTAAATAAGCTTTGAAATACCTGCTTTCTTCAAAATGTTGTTAGTGTCTGAATGTGTAAGTTTTTTTTGTTTTTTTTCCTGTTTTGTCATTCAGTTAGAAGATACAACATTCAAATCTATACATATAGATTTGATAATTGAAGAAAGCCACAAGGAAATTTTAACATCAATTAAAAGAAATGCCAATTTTACCCATGTCTGGCAAATGGACAATGAGTAGCAAATGAATTGCTCTTAAAAAAATTGTAAAACTTGTTTTAATCAAAGATTTGAAATATTTCAATTTCATAAGCATGTCTGATACAAGACCAATTATATAGAGCATTCAATGCTTTATATATATCAGTAACAGCCTTTTATACTCAATTCCTAAACATTAGTCCATGACAAGACATTTTATTTTTTATACATTTAACTTTTACTGTTATAACAACTAAAAGCAAGTAATATTTAGTTGAAAAATTCTGGTTTAACCTTTTGAAATAGACTAGTTATGAAAGTCTAGTAAAGTTTGTGCATCCCTGAATATGACTTCCTCCAAGATAGAAAGTATATATTAAAAAAGAGCAAAGTTTACAAAGAAAAAGTTGTAATAAAATTGTATTTGTGAGAGATTCTGAGCTCATGCATATGGCTCTCTAAAGAAATTTCATGATTTTTTTTTTTTTTTTGATTGAGGTTAAAAACCACATGTAAAACAGATCCACATTTTCATTTGAATCCATTAAAGACCCATCAATTTTTTAAATTTCAAAAAGTTTAATTGTAAAATGCTTGATCAGTTTGTTATGAGCATCATCAAAAGAAAGTACAAACAGCTGTTGTAATTGGCTTTTAACACAATCTTTTTCAGGAATTCACATGTGGACTCTGGGTCAACGTATCCATCTGGGAGGTTGCCATCATGCATATTTTGTGACAGAAATTAATTCCGAAACTAACGATATAATTGTTGTAAGTAAGAAATTATTTAGTTTGAAATCACTAACTTACATAATTGAAAGTTCATAAAAACGAGTATCAAAAATCTAAATGAATGAAAATAATTTAACATGTGATCAGCATAATGCACTCTTCCCATTTTAACAGTAAGGTGAATTCTAACAAATTTAAGTGACTACAAAATTAAATATTCATAAGCTCTTGCCCAACAAACTTTTAATGTTCATGTGTATTTTTCTCTTTAGGCTCCTGGTACCACTCATCCAGCTTTATTCTGCACTAGTTTCAAAGTTGACAATCCACATTGGATTTGTCCTCAACCAGATTGGTTAGAATCCAAGTCAATGGCAGTGGATTTCCGTTTCCAACATGCACACCCACTTATAACATGTGAATTGAAATCAGTAAGCAGTGATGGTTCAACTTGTATTGTCAACCTTCCTCACCCAATGAGAGCCATATCTCCAGGACAATATGCAGTCTTTTACAAAGGAGATGAATGCATTGGAAGTGCACAAATCAAAGAGGTTGGACCTTCATTATGGAAACTCAATCATCGTGAACCCATCAAGCTAGCTAAAGAATTTACTTGAACTTATTTGTAAAAAAATTTTCTAAATGGTTCTGAATTAGTTAATATTGATATTAAAATATTTTACTATGACTACATTGAAAGTATTTCTCATTCACCCACAAAAATGGCAGTTGAAGAATCAAAAAAACTAACCATTTGTTAATTACCAAAGCCACTCTTCATTTCATTATTTAACCTTTGGCAATCTGCAATATTAATATTACTTCCTTTTCTACTGCAGGTTTTTTTTCATAGCCTCTCAATTGAGTGAAATTAATAATAAGGATACTGCAAATTTGTTTTCTGTAGCCACAACAGGATATGACAACTATGAAATTCAGTGTCACCTTCAGTGGTCGGATAAACTTTTTGTACAGCAAATGAAGTCTAATGCAGAATGATAAAGATTTAAAAAAAAAAAAAAAAAAAAAAGTAGGTACTTATCCATATACCCAAGGCATACATACAATTAGAAGCAAAAAATTCCTCAGTTATTTATCCTGGCTCTCTTTCCCCTTTAGAACTGAACTTAATAATTACTTATTACATTAGAAACACTAAGTGTATAAAATATTAGCCAAAAAAGAAAATGACTGTCAAAGATTTTATTTTAAGTAGAGTTTAAAGTGTTGCATTAATTCAATATCATGAAAATTGATTGGTTGCGAGTTAAGTCATTAAAAACTGATCTAGTCAGGCAAATTTCTACCAAGCTTAGATTAAGTCAAACCTTCCTCATTTATTATGGATTTCTTTTAAGATTTGTTAATATTACTTCTAATCCTGAAATCTGAGGAGTGATTTAGGCAAATAGATTTGAGAAAGATGCAGTTGAGGTTTGATCTTAAGGAAAAAAGTTAGAGGCTTTCAGATATCCATTGCTAGATAAGAGGAAAACTGAGAAAAAAAAAAAAAAAAAAATTTAGGCATAGGTAAAGGACATGCCTGCTGATGCTCACCAAGTAGGTTTGATAATTGCAAGCAAATTTAAGCTGTGAAAGTAACTTTTTTTTTTTAATGAGAATATGAAAAAAAAACAATGTAACTATTAAAATATTCAGTCCTTAAAATAAAGTTCTAGAGTATTCTATGCCAACATAGAATGTTCCAATGCGCCCCCCCCAAGCTCACAAGGTGATTACTGTAGCTAATCTTACAAACTCACACTAAGAGGGGAAAAAATTACAATTGAATGAATTATACAGAAGTTTTGAAATAACAGAAGCCTTTCTCATAATGCTGTTCCACAATGTGTGAACAAAGGTAAAAATTCAAGAAAAATTTAAGTTGCTGGAACAATCACCAAAATGGCTTAAAGTTCTGAATGAAAAACAGAGCTTGATGCATTGTTTAGTGAAAAAAATGGATTTGCAGTATGCACAAAGTAAATGCAGAGTGGAGAATAGTGTTTTGCTTTGAAACCTATGGAACATTTTATATGGTTGATGGAGCCAAAAATACAGCAATGTATTTGTACATTGGAGAATCAGCCTAAGATGAACAATGATCCAAAGCATATGGCAAAAAAAGTAACTTTAAAGTGGTGATCCTGCCCCAATTTAAACCTCATTGAAAAATTATGAGCAAGCTTAAGTATATCAAAGGGATCTTGAAAACATGAATGTTATTTGCAAAAAGTGAGTTAAGATTCTACAAAAATGCTGTGAAAAGTTAGTAAAAAATAAAATGTCACAAGTTTTTGATAAATAGAGAAAATTTTTTTTAAACCATCATGGATTAAAAGGACTAAATTTTAATTAGAAAAAGTCAATAGTTTGCATTTTGGTTCAGGCACAAGGAAGTGGAGGGTAGCAAAGACAGCACAATCCTAACTAATGCAGAAACTTTATTGCAGGTTTATTATTGTGAAGATTCCTTTTCTCAGCTCCTATAAACTCCCAGGAAAAAAAAAAAAAAAAAAAATAATTTGATTTTTCAACCAATAAATCTCATTCAGGGCAGAGGTTAAAGAAATCAGAATGGTTCAATGACGATTTTCTTTATTGAACAAAGATATCAATTCCCTTTGTACAGCTTTTGGCTGAAAACATAACATAATAACTTAGTCCAGTGGACATTTATTCATGCAAAAGAAATTTGATGTCTATACAAAGAACAATTACATCCAATGAATTTGTGTATGCTGGTGGTGGTGAGGGTGGCACCAGACAAACCACAGTTTGGCTGTGGGGAGGGGAACCCAGTACCTGCACCACTGTCGGGCAGCAGCAGCAGCGGCCTTAAAGGAGAGCAGGTGTTCAAAGGAAGGGGAGAAGAGCCCACCAAAGAAAAGGAGACTAAAAAGGTGTGGGAACAAGAGTTGGGGCAGAGGGAGAGGCTCATATCTTACCCTTCCTTCCTTATCACTAAACTCCCCTGGGAAATAGACACACAACACTTGCTTTATTTTACTGCAGGTATAAAGGGAGGGGGGAAGGAAACAAAAGAGGGAGGGAGGGAATTTTCATCCTAAGAGACAAAACCAACAATTTTATCTCTGCAGTCTTTAAAAAATTTTTTTTTTATTTTTATTTTCCCCCAATTTTTAGGGATTTAAAATTTATTTTATTTTTTTAAATTTTTGTTTTTTAATACCTCAATTCTTAAATGCTGTAATATTTTAAAAAAATTCTTCTGGGGGTGAAGAAGAGTTTGTTTTCTCCCCTCTCCATAAGAATGGAGGGTGAAGAGGCAGAAAAGTCTGTGACCCCCTCCATAGCAAGACAGTGAAGTGAGGCAACAATGCCGCTAGTATCACCTGTCACTACTGCTGCTGACCAAAACCAAGGATGCTGCATTGGTAAATGGAACAATCTCTTAGAGGTTTTCTTTATCCGCCATTTTCCTTTTTGCAATTGTTTATTTTATTTTTATTTTTTTTTAATCTATTTTCCAAAGTGCTTATGGTGTTGTCCTTTCTTTCAAAGACAGGAAAAAGTTTAGGCAAGGCCAAAGCCCTCAGAGCATTCATTAATAGCCAGCAGTAACATGTGCCGTAGCTTGTCATATGTTTCATAGGCAGGTAGGTCCAACTGGTTGAAGCTGAAAATATAAAGCAAAATGAACAAATAAAAAGCCTACCAAAGAGCACAAGATCTTAGCACAGCTAAATAAGTTTAATCAAATGACAATAATGACTTCATTGCACTCAATTAGCTCTTTACATATCAAAATGTGCATGCAAATAATGCCTAGAGAGATACTTTTTCATATTTCTCTCTAAGCTCATAAAGGTTACTGGGGTAAATTTTACATGTGAATCAATACCTGGTCAGGTTGGAATGGAAATTAATAATTTAATGTGAAAAGCCTAGATAGACGAACCAAGATTTTACTAGTATATCAGAAATACCCTGAACTTTAAAAAAAATAACAACAAAACACGCCTATGGCTCGAAAAATTGCATGGGTGAACAAAAGTGAATGCTGTAAAAATTATAATTTGACCAGATAGAATATAAATCCACCCCATGAGTGGTGGCATTAAGATTTTCTACCAAAATTTTCTAGAGACCAAAGTTTCCTAATTGGTTGATTAATGGATTGCATTTAATGGCTCCTCAACATCTTGTAGACCATTTACAACCAAATTTCCTAATTGGATTGTTAGACTGACTACTAGTCACCAATATGGAGTATTGCTTTGTTTTGTGCTATGTTGTTAATAATGCCAACACCTAACTTACCAACTAACAGTAGTTAAGTAGACAACAGCACTACATAAGTGAAAGTGCTAAACTAGTAACTGTAACAAACTTATTGCTACAGGCAAGAGTCAGTTGTCTGTCTTGAAAATCACTTATATTCCTTGTAACTTGCTCTCCTTTATTCCTGAGCTGTTTCAACCAGCTTCACCTAAGACCTCAGAAGTCTTAAACACTATATGAGTAGGGAAGATAGACTGGCAGCACTAGGAGGCAAAAGTTATACCAAGATATTGAAAGTGGTGTTTATGCAATTATATAAAAACACTACTTGTAATGAACTTCTAAAAAGAGGCTTGAACCACAATACTATGCAAGCATATCCTGCCACCAAACTTATTTCATGAGCTTCCTTGAAACATTGTGGGAATTTATCATTTTTGTTTTACTTGACCCTAAACAACTCCAAGTAATGCCACACTTTTAGATAAAAAAATAAAAGGTCATTGGATAAGATTACATAATAGAAGTAAAAAATTCTATCAAAATATTTGTAAGAAATCAACTGGCTTACCATGTATGTGCAGTGGGAAGTCTGTCTGTGGAGCGATCATCTCTGTGAATCTGGAACTTCTGAATACCATTCATACCTTCCAGAAAGGCAAATCCTTGAAGAGGAACTTTGGATGTACCCGTTACAAATTGGATAAACCTTGCTCTGTCTGCTTGATCAAAAGATCGTAATGCTCTCCAAAACCACTGGATCTAAGAGGGAAGAAAGAAAGAAAACTTGAACACTTTAAATAAGATGATTTCCTAAGTGTGGCTTAGATTTAACGCTTAAATAGTTGACAACTGTTCTAGAAACTGAAATCTAAAGTCATTTCAGTTTGCTTAAAATATTTGAAAGTTACATATAACGAACACACAGGAAAATGAATATTGTAAATTGCCGATAGGGATTTACTTGTGAATACAACCTCTATTGAGGAATTTTTAAGACTTAATATCAAATTTGTAACTAATTAACAAAGTGAGAAATGGATGGAGAAATTGCGAATACACTGGTATAACTTTTTTTTTTTTTTTAAATCTACGTAAAAGAAAAATCCACGATTGCGTTAATAACAGGATAAACTGATCCCTCTAACCCAGATGGCAATCAGTCCTGTAGAAGGAAAACTGAATTCCTAATCATGGAGAAACTAATCTACCACATTTGTCAAGAATTTATGCATCTAAGAATAAAATCAAAAGGGAATTGTTGCAGAGACATCCTGAAAGGACAACATACATGGATGGGAGTGAGAGAGGGAGACGTATTAGGTAAGTTTTGCTAAATAAAATTAGTAATGAATGCCAAATAGGAATTAAC